TGAAATCAACAGTAGTGGAATGTGAGGGACAAAGAAGGTCGAGGTGGGTGGTTTTTACTTTTTAAAAAATGTGTGAAAATAATATTTTTGACACGTGGAGGTGCATCTGGCGTACCTACCTTTACAATTATGGTTCTAGACTTCTGTGGGAATTTTAAATTCACTTGAAACAAGATTAGGGGGTAAAGAATTACATGTAAAGTTAAAGTGTTAAAGTAAGTTATGCGGACAAGTTTAGAGGTTTTCTTTTTATGTATTTATCTCTCTCTCTCTCTCTCTCTCTCTCTCTCTCTCTCTGTATATATATATATATATATGTATATATATATATATATATATATATATATAAACATTTACAGAGTTACCATAGAAAATTGTGGCGTAATGGATGAAGCTGCTTATGTAAACAGAGATCTTGAGTTCGAGTCAGGAATAGGAATTTTTTTTATAGATTGTCACAACTCAATTTCTTGAGTCATGATGACACCTATTATAACCCACCAAATGGTAAGCCAACTTGTAAGCCAGAATGATAAGCAATGGGTGTAAGGGTAGAGCCAAAGCAGACTTAAAAATATAAAATACATAATCAGAAGAATAAGCAATAACAAACCAAAATGTATACAAAGAATCAAAATTCCTCCCTGAACCTGGAAGTCACAAACACGTAGCTGCTAAAAATAATGAGTTCAAGTCCCATAAGTGACCCAAAAGATAAGAATTGTCTCAAATTATAAAAGACTAGTCATCAAAATATAGATGGAGACATGTAAAGTCCAGGAGGCCATGTTCTTACCCTAACCTCTGAATTCGGCAATTGTAAGCTCAATCTTAGATCTAATAACTGGTGCTAGAACCTGCATCACGAAATAAATGCATTGTGCAGCATGAGTACCAGAACACCATGTAATTAGTAGGCATCATATGTTGACTAAGCAATAAAAGTAAAGGCAATATGAAAATCTAGAATTTAAACTCATAGAGGTCAAAGAACATAAGGCTAAGAGGAATGCACACGAGTGTACTATGAATAGAAAAGAAGTAAGTACCACAAACTAAACCCAGCCAAAACCCATAAGCCCAGCATGTACACGAGTGTGCAAGCTTAAATAAACTTCGAACGGACTCCATAAGGCTGACAAGTACACAAAATAGTTGGGAACTAAATAAAAAACACTGCGGATATTTCCATAACCGCCACAACTTTTCTTGGAATGCAACCATTGTAAAGGAAGTAAGAGACCAATAGAATCACATGGTGATGACTTGAAATGGATCAAAGGGTTAGTAACCTGGTCAGGACATGAAATTGATCAAACATGAAAGGAAGCTCACTAGTTAAGGACTTGAAACTGATCAAAGGGTAAGTTTGCTCTGACTCAAAGTAGAATCAATCAATCAGGACTCAAAACTGATCAAAAGGGGATAAGCAAGGATTGAGCCCACCTAGAAGAGATGCATATGAGAGCATCAAAATAGGACCAATATAAGTTATATAGGCTCATACTATGGAAAACAAGCTCCAATGACTCAAATTCTCTTAACAACTCAATATCGGTCCAAACCATAGCACACAATCACCTCCAGACTTGTCAGAGATCCACTCAAGCTTCAACTTCACAACTCGATGATAGATCTTCTATATGCCCAAAATGGACCGTGTATACACCAAGTTGATAATGAGGATAAAACCAAGATTGAAAATGGACATCTAAGTTGAGTTGTCACCTAAGTAAGGATCATACTATAAGACTTGAGTCTACGATATCACTCCACATAAAGATAAGTCATCCAAAATGACATAAGAGAGATTTTAAGGCCTATCGACTCCAAACTACACAAATCTATGGAAACCACTTGTCTATGACTAGACTAAGGCCAAACATGTTCAAAATCAATCATAAATAACAACCAAAACACACTACAAGATAAGGGCGATCAAAGTCAATACAACCAACATGCTATTAGTTCCAAAAAACCTAGTAAATAGCCCATAACATAATTTTTTTAAATATTAAGCAAGATTTACTAGATAGCCACCCCAAAATTCACACAAATCAATGTTGATTTACTTATCAAGCTCAATCTAAGGAATGAGAAGTTGTAGCTTACCTTAAGGTACACCATAGGTGCTCCAAATCACTATTTTAGAGGTTTTCCTTTCCGAATGTTACCACGTTAAAACTAGAATCAAAATATAAATATGTTGTTTAGACTCCAAAAATACATAAATTTTAATGTACAAAAATTTGAGTCAAAATGGGAAATATGGACCTGCATTGGAAATTCTGAAGATGACTCCGTAAAAGAGGTCTTATTTACCTCTCCAAACTTGTATCATAAAACAGGATGCAATTAAGGGATTGAAACATCCCAAAACCAATTCAAGGATTGAAACATCCCAAAACCAATTCATGTTGTTTTTTCCGTATGCCTTTGAATTAAAAAAAACATACCTAGACGTTCATTATGACCGTGAAAGTCGAGAAGATTGGCCTTCAAGAATGTGGTGATTGTCGTGCAAATGTGAGTACAACAAACCAGAGATCTGTGAAAGCAACAAGGGAGACCACAAACACAGAGGGTAAAGACCCAAACCCTCGCAAACACCCCCAAGGCCAAGCAAACATGGAGGCTGATTCACTTTGCCTTTGGAAATGAGGCAAAGAACCCCACGGACGCAAAGGATAATAGATGCATGCAGTACAATATGCATATCAATTGGTTTTGCCAAGTCCCGATTCTACGATGGGGTTGCTCAGGATTCGTTCGAAACACCATGTGCACATTCAAACTATGGTACCCCACCAAATTTTACATACAAGAATCAATGTAGCAATTGAAACTTCTTACTGAGTTCGTCTCCATAAAAATTGTGTCACCAACCCAAGCTCCATTAAGATAAATTCCACAAGGGGGATCAGAATCGGTCTGAAAGCTTTGGGATCCTCAACAAAGGTCGTTCTAGATGAAACTCGACATTCAGAAGATAACGAAACCTCTAAAATTACATTCTAAGGTCAACTCCCTAAGATTTTGTCAACCATTCAAGTTTTAGAAACTTTAAAACATAAAAACTTGCACAAAAACTAAAGAATGACTAGTTGACTGAGACATAAATTACCTGGAGGGTCATTACAATATCCACTACTAATAAGAACTTTCATCTACGAATGTAAGTGTCAACAAGTACCTGAAGGCTCATGTTGAGAAACTACTCTTGAATATTATTCTCGATATCCCAAGTAGCATCCTTAACTAGACGATGTCTCTAACAAAAATGACTCTCGAACCCAACCATAACATAGCTTTGAAAAGAATTGCAACTCACTCCACCACAAAAGTCTATTGGTTATCAAACTTAACTAAATCATACCCTAGTAGAGGAGACTCATTAGAAACATACCAGCACAACATCGAAACATGGAAAACCAGATAAAAAGTTGAAAATGCCAGGAGGTGGGGCCAATTCATAAGCAACATCACTATCTTCCCGAAGGATCTCAAATAAAAATAGGGCTAATCTTGCCTTTTCCTCCCAAACCTCATCATGCCCTCCATGGGCAACACAGAAAGGAATACCCAGTCGCTAACTCCAAACCTCACTAGTCAATGCCTATAATTGGCACAACTCTAATGCCTTTAATAAGCTCCTCGAGCCTACCTGAATCAATCGTGCATTATCCTCATGAAGAAAATCATTAACACGCGTCCTAGGCTCTAAAGACTCAAACTAACCAATCTGAGAGAGACAACTCTTACAATATAAGGCCTTAAATGGAGCCATCTAAATACTAGAGTGGTAGTTGTTGTTGTACACAAACTCCACCAAAGGAAAGATCTGGTCTCACTGACCTCCAAAATCCAAACAAAGGCCAACAACATATCCTTAAACACCAAAATAATATGCTTTGATTAGTCATCAATTTGCGGGTGAAAGGTTATGCTACGGTCAACACGAGTATCTAACTGTTTCTGAAAGGTCCTCAAAAAGTTCAAAGTAACAGAGAATTTAGTCTGAGATGATAGATAAATGCACACCATGAAGACAAACTACCTATCAAATATAGAGATGACCCAACCCGTCAATGTTGAACGAAGACTAAATGAGAAGGAAGTGTGCTGATTTGGTCAATCAATCCACGATCACCCAAATATTGTCAACACCTCTAGAAGCCCAAGGCAAACCCACCAGAATGTCCATGGTGATATGATCCACTTCCTCTCAAGAATAGATAATCTCTGAAATTCACCACCACCCTTAAGTGCTCGTCCTTCAAATGCTGGTAGCACAGGCAATGGGACACATATAGTTTGCAATATCTCTCCTCATACCTCACCTCATGTGATCTTATCTCGAATCACGATACATCGTTATGGTGCTTGAATAGATAGAATATCTAGAATCATAGACCTTACGAAGAATCAACTGAGATCAAATCCCGAACTCTTGGAACACAAATACTATCGGGAAATCTCAAAACCCTATATGAATCTAAGGTAGCCTTTTCGACATCACCTTCCAACCATCAATCTTGAAGGGAAACCAAGATCTCATTTTCAAATTGGTGACCACGAATTTGCTCTAACAAGAAAGACTAAACTCTAACATAGGCCAACATAGGCTTACAATTCGAAATATCCAACTAAATCATCTTGTTTGCAAAAATACTGAATGTCCAGAGCCAAACGTCACTTTACAATAAGATAGAAAGGATAGACTACCCAAACAAGCGTCGGCTATTGCATTTGCCTTGCTTGGTTGGTACAAAATATAGAAGTTGTAGTCCTTTATAATCGTCTAATTATAATTGTGATCTCTTTGATTCATTGAAAGTACTTCCTTGAAACTACAATATTATAATAAAATAATTTTTTGCTAAATTACAAGTCTCTATAGAATCGATATCTAACTTTTTTGAGTCTCTATATTATCCATGCATTAATAGCCTATACGTATATTGCTAATATAATAATTTGCCATATGTTTTTTAGGTATGCACCAACTCCCATTTCTACTTCAAACTCGTAATATTTTTCTCTTTCTAAAAAAACGATTCCTTACCATTTCAATAAAACCCTTTCCCTTCTCCCTCTCTCTCTCTAAAAGAAGTCGATCCCTTTGTTGAAAAGGGAAAGGAGGAGAAAACAATGGCGATTGTGGAGGAAGGTAAGGAGTTTGAGATGTGCGTTGTGTTCGGTGGTCGAGGATTCATCGGGAAACCGCTTGTCGATAGGCTTCTTCGACTCGGCAATTGGATCGTACGAATCGCCGATTCTTTCCCCACTATTCAACTTGAACCCTCTGAGTCCCTCCTTTCCCATGCCCTTTCTTCTGGACGCGCTTCATATTTCCATGTCGATGTTCGTCATAAATCCAATATTATTACAGGTACCACTTCTTACAACTTCCCACAAATTCTGCATAAGTATATTTGTACAGTGTAATGTTTGTTAGCAGGACAATTTCTTTGCAATGTGTATATTGGAAGTACTACTTGTTTGTTATTCTACTCAATGTGTTGCCTAAAAGATAACGAATGAGAGTTGTGGTAGGTTGTTGTTGAATCCTTGTAATGCAGTTAGTTGATATGTCATTTTTGAAGTGTCCTGTCAATTGGTGTTATTTATGTATGAAGTGGGAAAGGATACATACCATATGTTGTTCATTGCAAGTTGACGACTAACTATTTCACACCTTGCACTGGCTTTGTTGGAGGCAATGTGGATGATATTGATGGTGGCACAAATGATCCACACCAAAAGAAGTCAGGGTCTTGACAAGCTAAACGACATGCTTTGAGAGGCCACAACACTATGTCTTTTCGGATCTACTTGGAATGGGAGGAATAGGAGATTGTTCAAGAAAAATGATGAGCCATATATCAATATTGTTAACAAGTCATTTCTAGTTCATATATTTGATGGTGTACAGGGAAATTACTAGTTGATCATATTTGGAACAATCTTGGTGTGATTCAATGATTTTTTTTATAACCGTGATGTTTCGACCAGCTTGTGTGCACCTCGAGTAATCTATCGGGTACTTTTTACCTCCAAGCAAGGCTTGATCAGGAAGCGATCACCTTGTGTTTGCCTCCACCAAGTTTTGAACTTGAGATCTCATTGTTCTCAACACAATTCATTGACCACTAGGACAAACCTTTAGGTGGTGAGAATTCAATGAATTATTTCTTGACTAACTCACAAAATAAAAAAGGAAAACAAAAATAAAAGCACATGAGTGCTCTTTAAGTTGGAAAATATGGATTCTGTTTTGCAATTTGCAGAAACCTCTCGTCTCATAGATAGGGTTAAAACTCAAAAGACTATAGTGAAGGTCAGCATGGACCCTACACAAGGATGATATGCACAATTGAGAATGGTCCAATGAAAAGGTAACTATTTTCTGCATGTATAAGAATCTTATTGAGCAGGATTTGCTTTTGCTCCTAACCGAATGCTCACTTAAATAGAACGAAAGATAGAATAGGAAGTAATGAGAGAAGGATCGAATTATTTGTGGAAAATAAATAACAGATTCACATGCATGCACCAGCTAACATAATCATGAAAGTAGTCTATCTCAAATCTGATTCCTGATACCAAATCTCAGGCCCAAAAGTGTGATCAATGACAACAAACCTACTCGATCACTCTCCTTTTTCAAAAAGTGAAAAAACCCTACTTGACCACTCAGCACTTTATCAAGATGCATGTATCTTGTGTGAATAAATGAAGGAAGAGGTTTTATGATAGAAGATGAGCACTCAGAAGCTGAATATCCTCCTGATTTGTTGAAAGAGAAAATCAAGGCAAATGAAATTATCTCCCTTTCAACTTGGAAGAAAAAATGTTTCTCTTAGTGTGTAAGCTAACATGTATGCATTTTTATGAGATGTCCAATGACACTTTTGAGCAGGTACTTCCTATGAAATTCCTTTCTCTTTCCTAGCACCCCAAGTGTTTTACAATGTATTGTTGTATGCTTGTTTATTTTGAAACAAAACCATGAAATTTTTTCCTTTCATGAATGTAGTAATTGTGTCAGTTACTGGGCTTATAATCCTACACCATCATTCCAGGCATACACATCACATAAACACAATTATGAATATTTAAAAGGCGGTCATGACTTATTAATAGTTGCGGAGTACTCCTTATAACTTCTATGGTGAATGAATGGAAGTACAATATTCTGAGATATGCAACAATGTTCAACAGTTCTCTGTAATGGATGATTGATTTTTGCTTAGTATGGATGATTGCTTTTTGCTTAGTTCTTTGCGAGGACATCCAACTAATTATATCAGTGGTTTCGGGAGGTTTTTTGAACGGGGAAGTAATGATGGGCACTCATTAACCTATTTCCCTATTAATTTGCGTCCCTGTAGGAATTGTTTATTCTCCTTTTAACTTTCTTTTTATTCAACTGCAAGGCAATTAAAAGATATTTATTTCTTCCATTCTTCATACTCTGAGAGAGTTGAAAAAATTATGAGGAGATGAATATTTTTGAACTTGTGTTTCTCTCTACAAACAAGGGATAGGTACTACCAGCCCTTCTAGCCCCCCTCCACCAGCTATTCGTTCCACTTTCTGTGCTGTCACCTAAAAGAAATGCTGTATTACTTTTCTTGACAATTAACCAATGCTGTAGTACTTTTCTTGACAATTAAGAAATGCAGTTGGACTGTGAACTAGTCAATTAGGTTATGTCGTTTGATTGCTTGTTTGACATTCTTTGTGTATATATCTGACTTGGCTTGTTTAGTTTAAGCAGTTTCTAGAGTTTCTTTCTTTTTTCTGTACCTTCCTGGATAACTGTGTTATTCCACTCAAGTAAAGTTGGACTGAGTTTTACTTCATCATATTCTCCCATGCAGCTATTGATGGTGCATCAGTTGTATTCTACATGGATGCTAGGGACTCATACGGTCATGATTTTTATATTAGCTACACAATTGTTGTTCAAGGTAATTTTTCATTCGGCAGTCATTTAAGTGAATTCCACATTTTTGCTATTTAAAATTTTGGTGTCCTGACTCCTGATTGAGAATAAATATTATGTCTTTCAGGTGCCAAGAATATCATTGCTGCCTGTCAAGAGTGTAAAGTCAAAAGGCTATTATACAACAGTTCTGCTGATGTAGTTTTGAACAGCTGGCAGGATATAAATGGTGGGGATGAGTCCTTACCATATTCCAGTAAAGTAAGTTTCTTATCCAAATTTACTAGGCTATATTCCTGTCAACCCTCGTCCACATTTTTCATTAGGCCATTATTTTTTTGTTTTCCTCAGTTTCTTCTTTTCACTTTGATGCTTTCTTAATGCAGTTTGTGAACATGGTAACTGATCTTAAGGCTCAAGCAGAGGCTCTAGTTTTAGTTGCAAATGATGCTGATGGCCTTCTTACTTGCGCACTTCGTCCCAGCTATGCTTTTGGACCCGGAGACAATTATCTCTCTTCTTTGCTGGTCGGTGTTGCAAAATCTGGCTGGGGCAAGGTTGGAAGCCTTCTTTTTATTTGCTCTTCTGTTGGTTAAAATCAATCAATTATGTTCCTTCTTTTTGCTAAGCCTGTGTAGATGTGATGGACTAGACCTGAGTTCTTTGTTTTAGCATCAGCATCCAACAAAATTTTCACTAAACTCGTTAGATGCTTCAAATCTCTGAGGAATTTCTCTTTCTCTGCTCTTTGTTACCAGTAACTTTCGGTTTCCTTGTGGAAGTAGGCAAATAGGAATTGGTGTAGAATTTGCAGCATGTTTTGTGTCAGCAACCTCCTTGGGATGTACGTAGAATAAAAGAGGAAAAAGATCATAGAATCCTCACGTCACAATTTTAGTCATTATGTAGGTGTAATATTCTGATCTAGCAGTTTTTAACTGTGTTTAGTCTTTGTATACATACTTTTTGAATAAGTAATAGACATTCTCATTTCAGTTTATTATAGGACTTGGTGACAATATGACCGACTTCACCTATGTGGAGAATGTTGCCTATGCACATATATGTGCAGACAAAGCTCTAAATTCTAGGGGGAGTCATGTATGTGGCAAGGTACAGATTTTTAGCTATCTTTATTCGATATTTCCTTTTGATATGGTTAATATATTTACAAACAGTGTGATATGCCATGCATTGTAGGCCTTTTTCATCACTAATCTCAAGCCGATGAAGTTCAAGGATTTTGTATCTCTTGTATTTCAGAGATTGGGATATCAAAGGTAAGGTAGCTGGCATACTATTCTCTTACGTCTATACTTATCGATGATGCTCCCATCGTTAGGAGGTTTCTTTATGATTTTTTTCTCGAAATATGTGTAGATTAGGTGAATAGCAGTCATGACTATTGACTGTACTGTGGTTCCTGCATGTTGCAAACTCTACCTTCCATCACGACTAACATCCTAGCTAAACAAGTTTTTGTGAAGTGCTAACAAAGTTTCTTTGTTGTCATCTATCTGATTTTATGGTTTGTGAAGGCTATGAAACTCTAGCTTGGTTGTTATCTTCATGTCCGGTCCGTAATTCAGAATTTTCCATGGTGTTTATGTGGGTAAGGATTGCACGACAAGGAGTCTTCTTGTACAATTGATTTGGCTAGATAATTCTCTTGGGTTATCTTATTTTGTCCTGCCTCATTTGTCTTTCATGAAGAGGGATAATTTATTCCAAATCTTCTCTCTCTCTCTATCCGCGCCTGACTATTACTTCAAGTATCTGCATCTTCTCAGTGAATCTGAATATCGATAAAGACCTGCCCACCAAGGTTGCACGTTTAGGCAAATTGAAAGAAATCACCTAGCCTTTTGCCCAATTTAGTCAGTATTGTTCCAAGTAATTCTCTTTTTTCATCCATTTCTTCTTGTTACACGCCATTCTTCTCCCTTTCTGTTGCACCACTTCCCCTGTTTACATATGTAGCTCTCTTCATCGCTAGCTATTGCATATACTGTTGATACTTGAATAAATATTACTCTTAAGTTGTGTATTTGCTGACCTTCTTGGCTGGTCATAGTGTATTGTCTTAATTCTTGACTTACATTCTTTCTTTCTTTTGTTGGTTTTGTAGCTTTGCTCCTTCCCTTCCATTATGGATTTTGTGATGTGGCTTCCTGAAATATTTGGTGCTTTCTGATTGCAGGTCGATTATCAAGATTCCTGATATGGTTACCCAATATGTTACTTTGATCATAAAATGGACTGTTTCAAGGATGAGCAACTGGAGTACCGAGAATGTTCCAGTTTTTGATATTATTGAATTAGCATTGTGCCATAGGAAATTTAATTGCTCGGCAGCTCAGAAATATATTGGATATTCTCCAGTTGTTTCCCTTGAAGTATGTTTGATCCTTTAGTTTTATCATTAGCTGTAAACAGTGACTAAACAACTGCTCTCTGTCTCATATTATTCTGTTGGCACTTAAATTATTCTATTTGATTACAATGTTTTCAAATAAAAGAATTTTAATTTTAACAGTGAAAATTTATAATTTTCTGATATTTCTCCAAATATGTAAGTGTCACTTTCAAGAAAATAAATTAGTAAGAAAGCAATATTTGAATTCACACTGAAACTTAGATTAGTTGACCTTAAGTCCTCGAATTATGCATTAATTTGGGATGAGCAGAGTATATTTGACTGGCCAATGTTTTATAACATTGGAGTGGTAAAGGCAGTAAATACCCAGTGTATATGGATCTTTTGAACTTTAGCTTACTTGCTGGCATTTTTTTAAGCTTAAAGGTAAAGATAACATATCTTTTTCTAGAATGTAAGAATTTTAGTTTTCCTAGTTCCACAGTGATATGCAAAAAAAAAGTTTTACTGTCATAATAAAATTGGCTGTCCTGATGTTCTTATAAAAGACATGCTATATACATTGAGAATCTCTCTGATAAAATACTTGTTCTTAAATTGTTTCACTTGATCCATCTTGGATCTCTTCTTTGCTTTTCTAAGAAGCTTTACTTTTCTTGATAAGTATGCTGATTCTGTTGTAAGTAGCGCAAATTTGTTGATCTGTGCTGAAAATATGGTTGAGACTTGGGTTGCTTTTGAAATTTGCCATAGGGCTTATACTATTGTTTGGACATGACTCAACTGCTTATTACAGACGTGAAACTCTGATACAGGAAGGAGTTGCTGTAACCGCTAAGTCCTCTCAATTAACCAGAGAGTCATCTTTCTCAAGCTATAGTGACACCGATGAGGAGTCAAAAGTGCATAAACTTCTAGGAGGTGGAAAAGGTTGGTATGTTACTTTGTGAAATTTCTAGCCTTGCAGAAGTGTGGTTTTCTAGTTTATTTGAGTTAGTGAAAATACTAAAATAAACCCTCTAGGCATTTTTCTTCACCTAAAAGCTACAATTTTTTCCATGAACTGGTAGAGAGAACCGACTTGCCACAGTTTTCTCTAAGGCTCATTTTCCAGAACTTCTCTCAGGAGAAAGTATTGTGTTTGACCACAATAGACATGCTTGAGTTTGGTGTTTTGACCCAATTCTAGTGTTCTTCTGAGACTGAATTTCAGTTTGCATCTTAGAATTGGCTTCTGGCTACAGTTTTAAGCACATTACAGAAACTTCCTTGGCAACCCAAATGTAGAGTGACATCTAATTTAGTAGAAACTTTTGTATACCTTTAGATTCTAATAGACTAAGTATTATTTATTTATTATTGTTACTATTGTATACTTGCAGCATTTTCTTTTTGTGGGATAAGGGGTTGTGGTGAAAGTTTTCTTATGCCAGTCTGCTTCTACTTCTAGCTGTTGTTTTTTCGAGAAAAATCACAATTCTTCATTGTACCATCTTGGTTACCTCTAAATAACAATCTATAATGTTAGTGCAGTTGCAGAAATCTTACTGTGGAGAGATGAGCAGAGAACATTTACTTGTTTTCTTTTGCTGGTTTTCATCCATTACTGGTTCTTTCTGTCCGGGAGGAGTTTTCTTTCATCTCTTTCCCAGCTTTTACTAATGATTGCTGTTGCTCTCTGGGGATACAGCATTCTGCCACCAACAATGTAAGTAAGCCACTGAATGTACTTTCTTTAAATGTTTTAAATAGAATAGTGTCCTAAAAGAAATGTTTGGACAGACATGTCCTATCATATCTTCGTCAAGGAGATGAAAACTTTTGGTATATTATTTTTCTTTATGAGACAACTGGATATAAATCATATTCTTAGGGCGTGTCATGCAATCCCTTATGTGAACCTTAATGCATTGAGGTTATGAAAAAGAATAATATATGTGACATGTTAAGATTATATGTATGCAACTGGAGTGTTTCCCTGAACACCTCCCACAAAACCGAAGGTGAAAAGAACTGATTGATGCTACTTCATCCTGTTGTAAGGGTTAATTAGAACACTTCAAATCCTTTAACATTTCTTTTATCTGTAGGTCCAACATCTTCCTCTTATAAGTCTTCCTAACTCTGTTGTGTCAAGTCAACTGAATAATGTGCAAATCAGACACCATCTTTATAGGAAAAGGAAAATATTTGAGAAAGTTTTAAAAATATACAGCCCAGCACAACAAATTACACCCATGTAGCCACATTTTCAGTTTCGACCCACATAACCAACTTTTTTTAGCAACAATGTTTTTACATCTGGTGTACAACATCATACAATATTATATAATACTATACACTTACCTTAAAATAATGTAGCAATCTTGTATAAAAGTGTATAATAGTGTACAAGAGGTGTTTATAACTATGATGCTCGGATTTGAGTGCAAGTAACCATCCAGGTGTGGATCTAGAAGTTGGATCCTTCATAATCTAAATTTTAAGATTCGGAGGTAGGGATATGGGGTAGGGATTTGGCTTTAAATAGTTAAAAATTCTTAAAAAATCTATGAAGATAGCCTAAAAGGCTTTGAGGTGAAGCCAATAATTCGATTTTCATTTTGAGAATTTCTCAAATTGTAGACACTAGCAGGCAATGGCTAAAATTCAGTTTCCATTTTCCATTTTCCTCAGTTTTTGTCATGTATTGTGGTCAAAGTACTCAATCTCGGTTGAGCGCTCTCAGTATGAATCCCACAGATACCAATACCAATGTCATGTCGACAGGGGTGTGGCAGCTAAATGAAGAATCCCCACAACATAGGTTTATACACACTTTTACATTGTTATATAAGATTATACAAACTTCCACAAAAACTGGGTTTCATCTCCTATGAACTTCAACCAAGAAAGTCCATCCTAACTGTGTTAAGTCTTCATTGAATAGCTTAAATTCTAACCACAACTTCCAAATAACATCCGCAATGAGCCTTAATCATCAATTTGCCAAAAATTTCAACAAATCACAATATTCACAATAGGTTTTAAAGCTTTTGAAAACCTCAACAATGGCGAGTTCCTAATTTTTCAACTCTTTCACCCAACAATGTTATGATCTGTGATAATTAACATGAATATCACTATCAATCAGTTTAAGCATCAAAAAATGAAGATCATGATCACAAATTAAGGAATTATTGCTTTTCCCCCAAGTATTTCAAATTATATATGTAATGGGATAAATAGGCTATGATCTGAAAAAGGGGCTAAATAGGGTAAGCTTAGCCAAGTAATGTAGAGTGTTAAAATCTCAAAATATTATGTGGAAGTTCATGGGTAAATTGTTTGCAATTGCCGGTATAGTCCCGTTCTTTGTTTTCCTCTATTTCTGAAATTGCCTATGAATTGTTTAAATAATCTATTTCCGATTGGGAGCTTTTATCCACAGCATTATTTCATAATGAACTTATCGGCTTCCAGTTCCCAGGTTTTAGGTTTCAGAATTTTTATATTTTTTTGATAAAAGGTTTCAGTATTTATTTTATGCATGGGATGCTTGTATTCCTTCAATAATGACATCTTTGCTGCAGATATGGGATTTCAGTTCCCAGAATATCATGGTCCTTCTTTGAGATCTCTGAAGTGGATATGAGAAATTGCTTTTACAACGTAGCATATATGTGGAACAGAGTGAGTCATTTAGCAAAATTACTTGCCCAAGGAGAGGATTGGCATATATTTCTGAAGGTGTGTACTAATTCAATTCATATTTTTACTTCCTTTTTACTAATTTTAAATTGAGCAAGAGATGATCTGGCCTTTGTCTGAAGTTCTCCAAAAATTGAGTTTGCTTAGCCTTAGTAATGTTTTTGGATGATTTCCACACGTTTTTTCAAATACTCCAAATCTAGCGTCTGAGTTCTCCTCTCCAGTCTTCAGAAAAGGCTAAACAATTTTTTTCTCCCAGAAACTCGAATAACGTTGAACAAATGGTTGGCATTGATCATTCCTAGAAGTTATACTGCACTTCGTGTAAGTAATTAGAACTGGGGGGGGGGGGTTAAAACAAACGAATTTAAGCTTTTGGATGAGGGCCAAAAGAAACTAATGGTAGACAATGGATTTAGCAGATGAAGTATCAAGAAGGGTGAGACACTTGACCTTGGGAAAAGAAACTGATTGTGAGATACATATGGACCTCATCTATTTGAAGATTAGTCAGAATGGAGATATTGTTAAGATTGCCGTCAATTGGGTCAGACTGCAAATAGTGTTTGTAAAGTCTGTCCTTGAATCTACTGTTTAGGTTGTGTTGAACTCTAAAAGTTCTTATTTTCTGCAGGCTGCAATACCCCTATATGTTTTGAAGTTGGTTATTTCGGATTGCTTGACTTTTGCACTTGGTGTAGGTATGTGTTATACTACATTTTTATGCTTAATGGTTGCATTGAAGTCCATATCTGGTAGTTTGTTTACATGAATTCAAAACCTTTGCAGCACTAGCACTGGCATTCACTTCATTCCTCATTTATGAGCAGTATGAGGATGAAATTGATAGTACAGCAAATGTAATATTCAGCATATTAAAAGTTGCCTTTACCCTGCTGATGAGGAGGTTACCCTTGCCTCAGGCATTGCTGTATTCTGATTCAGAAATCGGATCTTCTAGATTGAATATCAAGCAATGAGGTGTGTTAATGCTTTACTCAGTCGTAACAGCATACAGAGTAAGAGTGGTGTACATCTTCTGGCTCAGTTTCCTTATTTAGATTGTGTGACCTCTTGTACAAGTAGTTTGTTTACCTAATATGTAAAGGGTCGGTTGATCTGTATCCAATTGAGAAACTCAAGTCCCCCACCACCTCATTCCTCCCATACCCTAACACTAGGGCTACAAAAAATTTGGGAAGTTCAAAAGAAAAGAAATAAGACTCTTTGAGGATAGTCTTTGCCCTTTCTGGCTGAGATGACAACATAGTGGATGAATGCTCTGCTTGGATACAAATTATGCTTGCCAATTTCTTATGTTGTGATTATTACAATGCCCTTTTAATGTTATACCCGAAGAAAAAATGATATCTTTTTAGAGAAGAAACCCATCTTGTAGAAGGGTGCATCTTTCAAATTACCTTTCTGCTTATTTTGTTTTTAACCCCTACTGTTACTATTATTGTTCTTTTACTTTAAAAGCAGGTCTTAAAAAGGGGTAACTAATGGTATTTTTTTACCATATTTACTATCTCTTTATGATTTGAAATGACTAGATTTTATTTTTCAATTTTATAAAATTTCATATTAGATTTAAGTTAGATACATGCGAAGCACACTAAATACTCACTATATACATGTATTTGATATGATTCATATGTATTTGAGATGCTAGATATGCAAGCGAGATATGAGAATGACAAGCGCGACGGGAGGGGGCAGGTGAGACTTTTTTATGCATACGAGATACTTGTGAAGCACATTAGATATACCTATACATGTATCTGGGATAGCGAATACAAGATCGCGATATTATAATGACGAATGAGGTGGGACAGAGGCAAATAAGATTTGTTTGTTTATTTCAGGTATATGTGAACTAAACTATACACATGTATTTTATGTGATTTACATGTATGTGAGATACCAAATAGCGGAGTGATATATGATACTGATGAGCGAGAGGGGAGGGAGGAGGATAAGATTTGTCTATTTATTTTAGATACATGTAAATAACACTATATACATGTACTTGGTGTGAGTTACACATATTTGAGATACCAAATATCGGAGTGAGATACGAGAATGGCGATGAAACTTGTCTATGTAAATAGAATACCTTGCGTCAGAAGAAGTACCAATGATGAACAAGGTTGAAAACCTTCAGTATGCTATTATCGAGAAGTTCTCATATGAATGGCTTTAACTAGGTATGTACTAAAATTTCTAAACAATGTAACATAGAAGGGAGTGCAGAATTGGTCTACTGAGACGTATACATGTATTGTTAAAGTTTAGTTGGACGGAAAATTATCACGATTCAAAAATACGTGGTGACACTCGTCTTATTCCATAAAGACAAGTTATCTTAAATTCAAATATAATGATAAAAATATTAAAGTAATATAAGACTGAAAATCTATACTTATTCCATCAAGACAAGTTATCTTAAATTCAAATATAATGATAAAAATATGAAAGTAATATAAGACTGAAAATCTATATACCTATAAATAAAGAGAATCGAGACAAGGTGATGTGGCATTTTTATATATGCAAAAAAAAATTTATATTCAAAAACCCGATTAATTAATTTTGTTAAATATATATCTTTTTAAAATTTTAAATAAAATATGAATACAAATGACTAAATAAGTTGATTTGATTTTTAATATATTATAAAATAAAAACACAAAATTTAGTACATAAAAACTTTATGATTAAAATTTTAAATTACATTTTTAATAAACTTAGTTATGAGTATATATTTTTGGATGCCCATGTATTAGTTTCATATAGAAAGAGATGCAATCATTGGTAACGCGAGAAGTATATTTGAAATGAAAGCATATTATTAGAGTATTCAATTTAATTAACCTTATTATTCTATATATAATATGTGAAGAGGTTTATAATCTAGCAAATATTTTTACATAATTCATATGAATCTATTTATCTTTGTATTTCATATAAAAGATAAAATTTAGTAAACGAGTTAATAATTAAAAAAAAAATCCTCATTTGAGGTTAAATATATTGAGACTTAATAATCAGTAGAGTAACATTTTTGGATAACTTTATGAAAAATCATACTTGACGAGTAATAACATTTATCTTTTGATATAAATGTAACTAAAGAATTTAAAATACCAATAAATGTGATTTATGCGATCTAAAATATCAATAGACGTGACTTATGTAAAAATAATACAAATTTAAATTTTGTTTTTTTTGAATAGATGTGACTTATGCGATTTTGCTTTTATCGATGGGGTAAGTCGCTGTTGATGCAGAGATTTTACCGTTTTAGTTAATATAAAATTTTATATACCGTTTTGGAATTTTTGTTAATATTTTGTACCCTTTAGGCTCCAGACTCAAACTTAAAAACTCCTGTTATAACTAATAATAAGTAGTATGTTATTAAACTATAGAATAAGAAGAAGAAACTAGAGAGAAAAGAAGAGAAGACTTGTTATTTCTCTTGACGAATAAATTTACAATGAAGAGGAGCACTCTATTTATAGGAGAAATCTAACTTGGTCCCCAAGTAGGACTCTTTTACCATATCCTAAAAAGGACTCCACATGATAGACATTCACTAAAATACGAATACTTTATAACACTCCCTCTGAATGTCTAATTCATAGATGAAGTGCCTCGTCAAAAAACTTACTAAAAAAAACTTTAAGAAAAGAAAAACTCTAGTAAAGAAAAAGAGTACACATATCTATAAATACGCATCTAGGTTGCCTCATTAAAAACCTTACAAGGAAAATCCAGTGGGACAAAACCTCGTAAGGAAAAAAGAGTACAACGCGTATTGACTCCCTCTAATGAGAACATCAATCCAGAGACTTGAATCTTCGCATTCCAAGCTTGTGCATGATCTTCTTGAAAGTTACAGTTGGTAGAGACTTGGTGAATAGATTAGCGACATTGTTACTTGAACGAATCTGTTGCACATTTATATCACCATTTTTTTGAAGTTCATGTGTATAGAAAAGCTTCGGTGAAATGTGCTTTGTTCTATCTCGTTTTATGAATGCTCCCTTAAGTTGTGCTATGCATGCTGCATTATCTTCATATAAAGTAGTGAGTACTTTATCACATTCCAAACCGCATTTCTTTTGAATAAGATGTATCATAGACCTTAACCACACACATTCTCTACTTGCTTCATGAATAACTATTATTTCAGTATGATTAGATAAAGTGGCTACGATGGACTGCTTTGTAGATCTCCAAGATATGACAGTTCCCCCACATATAAACACATAGCCTGTTTGGGATCGAGCTTTGTGTGGATCAGATAAATATCCTGCATCAGCATAACCAACAAGATTTGGGCTACAATTAACAGAATAAAATAAGCTCATATCAGTTGTCCCTTTAAGATATCACAAAATGTGTTTGATTCCATTCCAATGTCTCCTAGTAGGAGCAGAACTATACCTTGCTAACAAGTTAACAACAAAAGCTATATCAGGCCTTGTAGTATTAGCAAGATACATTAGTGCACCAATTGCACTAAGATATGGTACTTCAGAACCAAGAATTTCTTCAACCTTTTCTTGAGGTCAGAATGGATCCTTATTCACATAAAGTGAATGAACAACCATCGGAGTACTTAATGGATGCGCTTCATCCATACAGAATCTTTTCAACACTTTTTCTGTGTAGGAAGATTGAGGAACAAAAATACCATTTGTCAAATGCTCAATTTGCAAACCAAGACATAATATTGTCCTATCTTTCATCTCAAATTTATTCTTTAAATAATCAATTGCCTTTTGAAGCTCTATTGAAGTTCTAATAAGATTTATGTATCAACATAAATAGCAAGTACAACAAATTCCGATATTGTTTTCTTTATAAAGACATGGACAAGTTGCATCATTTGTATAACCTTCCTTAATTAAATACTCACTAAGACGGTTATACCACATGCGCCCAGATTGCTTCAAACCATATAATGATCTTTGCAATTTAATTGAATACATTTCTCGAGATTTTGAATTACATGATTTAGGCATCGCAAATCCTTCAGGAATTTTCATGTATAACTCATTATCAAGTGATCCATAAAGGTAAGTTGTAACCACATACATCAAATGCATTTCAAGTTGCTCATGGACTGTGAAACTAATGAGATAACGCAATGTTATATCATCCATAACGGTGAGTATGTCTCTTCATAGTCGACACCAGGCTTTTGAGAAAATCCTTGTGACACAAGGCGTGTTTTATACCTTTGTATTTCATTTTTCTCATTTCTTTTTCGCACAAAAATCCATTTGTAACCAATAGGTTTAATACCATTAGTTGTTTGAACTATAGGTCCACAAACTTCACGCTTGGCAAGTGATTCAACTCTGATTGAATTGCTTCTTGCCATTTTGGCCAATCATTTCGTTGTCGATATTCTATAACAGATTGAGGTTCATGATCCTCATTATCTTGCACGATATTCGTTGCAACATTATATGCAAAGACATAATCAATCACTATTTCTGGTCGATTCATATTAGTTTCAACATCTGTTAAATTTATGGATAGTTCATTATTTCCTTGAGTTTCAAGTTCATTGATTCTTTCATGAATATCAGACTTATTCAAATTTTGAACTTCAATATGAGATTCTTTCATAGTGTCATCTTGACATTTAATCTTTCTTTTTCTAGGATTTTGATCCTTAGACCCCAATGGTCTACCACGCTTTAGGTGTGTTTTTGACTCATTAGCTATGACACTAGTGGATGGTCCTTTAGGGACATCGATTTGAATTGGGACATTCTCTGCAGGAATATGTGATTTAGTAATCCTTTTCAAATCTGCAAATGTGTCTGGCATTTTATTTGCAATTTTCTGCAGATGAATAATCTTTTGTACTTCTTGTTCACAAGTAGAAGAATATGGATCAAGATGAGACAATGATAAATTTTTTCCCAAAATTTCTCATTTTATTTCACTATTCTCTCAAACCAAATTTTGGGAAAACTATCTCATGAAACCGACAATCTGCAAATCTAGCAGTAAACATGTCTCCAGTCAATGGTTCAAGATAGCGAATAATGAAGGGTGACTCAAACCCAACATATATTCCTAACCTTCTTTGAGAGCCCATCTTAGTACGGTTTGGTGGTGCCACAGACACATGTACAACACTTCCAAAAATTCTTAGATGGGATATATTAGGTTCTTGACCCATAACCAATTGCAATGGAAAAACTTTATGATAACTTGTCGGTCTGAGACAAATAAGTGTTGCAGCATGCAAAATTGCATGTCCCCACACAGAAGTGGGCAACTTAGTTTTCATAAGCAACGGTCTTGCGATTAATTGTAATTATCAGGAAAGTGTGCCCTTAACCTTATTATTTGTGCCAATAATTTTGCAAATATCAAGTTACGAGATGACAATAGGCACACATGAGACCATGTAGAAGAAGCATATATTAGAACCATAAAATATCTAAATGACCCATTAGGTGGGTGAATAGGTCCACAAAAATCCCCATGTATACATTCCAAGAACGCAGGGGACTCAATCTTAACTTTTATTGGTGATGGTCTCACAATTAACTTGCCTTGATAACAAGCAGTACAAGAAAATTCACCATTTAAAAGAACTTTTAGGTCTTTTAGTGGACGTTCATTCAAATTTTCTATAATTCGTCTCATCATTATTGACCTAGGATGTCCTAGACGATCATGCCAAAGTACAAATGTATTGGAATTATTATACTTCTTATTTACTATAAAATGTGCCTCAATTGCACTAATTTTTGTCCAATACAAGCCAGAAGATAAAACAGGGAACTATTCTATAACACATGTCTGGCCAGAGACATTCTTGGTGATACCAAGATATTCAAGATTTATTTCATCAATTGATTGGATATGATAACCATTTTCACGGATATCTTTAAAACTCAACAAGTTTCTCTTTGATTTTAGAGAAAATATAGCATTATTCATTATGAGTTTAGTTCCCTTGGGCAAAATTACAATGGCTCTTCCAAAACCCTCAATCATATTAGTACTACCAAATATTGTAGTAACATTTATTTTACCCATACTTAAATGAGAAAAATATTTTCTTATTTTTGAATATTGTATGTGTTGTACCAGAATCAATCAAACAAATATCTTCATATTTCGATAATATGTTCTTAGAATTATCCATATCGTCACATGAAATGACATACACAAAATAAATATATATTAAATATTAGTGTTGTCAAAAGGGTTATATTCAAAGGAATAAATTAATAATTAAATATTAGAAATTGAGCCTTAATTTATTGTTTCCTCTAAGTCAAAAACGAGTTGTTAGGAAAATAAAATAAAATCATTATTTAATCCTAGTTAAATAACAGAATGCATGTTTTTAACATTAGATCAAATTAAAGACCTAATATAATACAAACACATGATAAATCCTAGTTAATATCAGAATTTATGTTTTTAACATTAGACCAAGTTAAAGACCTAATATAATACAAACACGTGATGAAGTTTAGTATTTGACTAACTCTATCATATTAGAATCATATAAATAAATCAATAAAAAATATATATTATTTAATTAAGAATTAAGGAACAAGCTAATGAACGACTAAACTAATTTAAAATACTAATATTCATGCAAGCAACTATCATTACATGAAATTTATTAATAAATACTATAAAAAAAATATCACTCTTCCATGTTCACAGGACCATCACCAATTAAGTGATCTATTTTTCCTTCAGGATGTGCGAAGAAATCTGCTACATCCAAGTGCGTGATGTCAACTGGATTTTCATAGATAAAATTTGCCTCAGGATTTTTTTCTTTCTTCTTCAGTGATTCTTGATAAAGCTCAACCAAATGTTTGGGAGTACGACAATCACGTGCATAATGACCTCTTACATCACATCGAAAACAACCTTCCCTGGTTGCTTCACATTTCTCATCCTTTCTTTTTCCTTTTTATTTGATGAATGATTAATGCCAGTAATAGAATTACGTTCTTGACCATAATCACGATCACGACCACGTTCACGATTAGGACCACGACCTTTTTCACGCCTAGCATGGTGGGCGTACGCCTCATTCACTTCAGGAAGTGGTTCAGATCCAGTAGGTCGATTCTCATGATTTTTCAATAATAAATCATTATTTTACTCGGCCACAAGAAGATGAGAAATTAGTTCAGAATACTTTTTGAAACCTTTCTCTCGATATTGTTGCTGCAAGAGCACATTCGAGGCATGGAAAGTGGAGAACGTCTTTTCCATCATATCAATCTCACTAACTGTTTCTCCACATAATTTCAATTGAGTAGTGATTCTGAACATGACAGAATTGTACTCATGTATAGACTTAAAGTCTTGTAGCCTTAGATGCATCCAATCATGTCGTGCCTTTGGATGTATGACCATCTTCAAGTGGTCAAATCTTTCTTTTAGGTTTTTCCACAAAACAAGTGGATCCTTAACTGTCAGATATTCGATTTTCAGAATCTCGTCAAGATGATGACGCAAAAATATCATTGCTCGAGCACAATTTTGATTTGATGCCTTATTTTCTTCTTTTATGGTGTCTCCAAGACCCATTGTATCAAGATGAATTTCAGCATCCAACACCCATGAGAGGTAGTTCCTGCCCGAACTTTGAAGGGCGGTGAACTTTAGTTTTGTAAGATTGACCATTAAAATTAAAAACAAAAGAATAAATAATATCTTTATTAATTCTTCAAATCTAACCTTCACTTTTGAGAAATTAGAGTCTCGTGCTGATAACGTGTTATAAAACTATAGAATAAGAAGAAGAAATTAGAGAGAAAAGAAGAGAAGACTTGTTATTTTTGTTGATGAATTGAATTTACAATGAAGAGGAACACTCTATTTATAGGAGAAATCTAACTTGGTCTCCAAGTAGAACTCTTTAACCATATCTTAAAAAGGACTCCACATGATAGACATTCACTATAATACAAATACTTTATAACATATAATATAATATTAAAATTTAAAATTAAAGAGAGTCAAACTCAAAACAATTAGGTTAATATTTCTATTTTAATATTTATACTTAAAAAAATAATAATTTGTTTAAATTAAATTTAGATATTTATACTTAAAAATCAATAATTTCTTTTAAAATCGTAACTTAACTTAATAATGTTTTATAAAGACAATTTTATTTGTGAATTTGATTAACAAGTAGTAACATAAACATCATATCATATTGTTTTGTCGATATTTATGATAGTATTTTTAGATTATAATTTATTATTTAAATTAATAATTAAAAAAATATAAAAATTTTAAAAAGTGGGCTGGCCCGGCAAGCCTGTAGCTCACATACTTGTGAGTTGGGTCGACCATTTCCGGTCCACACAAAAAATAAGCTAACCCGACCTAACCCGTAAAATATCAAAGCATATATGAGTTAGCCCAAATTGATAGCTATAATCAATATAATACTTTTGAATAGTTTGTATATTATATAGTTCATTCCAAACCATAAAACATATCAATATACACTTACAAGTCCACAAATAATATAACACCATAAATTTATACCAATCTATACAAGCACAAATATATTTTAAAATCACATTTTATACCAATATTATATACCCTAAAATAGTTAATTCAGGCCACATAGTTTAAATTCAACAATCATACCACATTAAATATAGTAAAAGCTGTCGAAAAATATATCAATATAATATTTTGACTAAATCTTTTTTTTTTTTGTATAATTCATTATAAACCATAAAATATACCGATATATAACCACAGATATAGTACAAAATTGAACCTTTATATCAAAATTACAAACTAAAGAAATTATACCAGTCAAACATATTTTAATTCAACAATCATACTACATTTATCAAAAAATATATCAATACAGTACTTTTGACTAAATTATACTTCATAAAGGTCAACGAAATTCTTAAAACATACCAATAAGCATAGTCGATCGAAGTAGAAAAAACAAAAAATACATTTCATTTGTTACTAAAGAATCAAATAAAACAGCCTCACTAATCATGATTATAAGCTATGCCTCTGCTGGATATCTATCACACATTTTTCTACTGTGCTCCTCTTGACGACATGTGTCGCATGTTACCTTGATCATCTTGAACTTCCTTTTGGTATATGACTTCTTGCTTTCCAGTCTCCCTAGCAGGGGAGCCATGATTTTTTATAAGGGGTCCAATATCTGTAGAAATAGATAGTCAAAGGAGATTCGACATCTGCTATATATTATACATATAAATTTATTTTAATCATATATAAATAATATAATTTTTCGTCCAAAAAGAAGTTCATAAGGGTAGATCCGGACCTGGTCACTCTGACTCGTAATAACTTTTGATCCAGCACATGAGGTGGTATTTTTATGACTCTCGCATGAAAAAGGTGTAATTTAAATTGCACAGGTGTCTATGTCAACTTGAACCGTTATATCAATAACTAACCAAATAAATTTCGCGTAAGAATTATATATAACTCACGAATGTAAATTTTACTGTCATGAGATTGTTAATTGCGTTAAAAACCAACAAAAATATATACTAACACAAAAAAACTATTTAACTTTGTAAAAAGAAATAACTAAATCAGTTAATACTCATTATTGTAAATCATAAATAATATTATCTTAATTATTACTCTAAATTGAAATTCGTACCTATATTTTATTCAAAAGGAATTAAATCAAACCACGTAGTTTAATTCAATAATTATACCATATTATTTTACATTAAAAAACTACCTAAAATTATATCAAATAATACTTTTGACTAAATTGTATTTTATCTAGTTCATTTCAAACCATAAAACATATCAATATACATTCATAAAACCACAAAGACCACAACACCGTAGTTTATACTAATAATGGCACAAAATCATACTTCATATCAATATTATACCCTAAAACAGTTAAATGTAACTACATTATCTAACTCATTAATCATACAATAAAAGCTACCTAAAAGTATCTCAATATAATACGTTGACAAATTTATAGGTGCTTAATTACAAATAAAAAAAATACATCAAAAAAACAAGTCAAAAATAAAATTAAAAAACACAACAAAGCAATCAAAGTATCTATATTTCAATAGTCACGCTGCAAAATTTTGGAACAATTTAATTATTTTTTTGAAAATAAAAAACATAATGCAAAAAAATTCATTAAAAAACAAACCTGTATCATTCCATTCACCTCAGTGATGAATCAATATTGAGAAGACGCTATAATTTTTCATGAATAATTTAGCAATAAAAAATAAAACGTACAGAAAGAACAGATAAAAATTCAATTTTTTTGATAACAATCAAATAACTGATAGAGAGATAATTAAGTGATTCACTAATTTTGGTCAGTTACACAAAACCTCTATTTATGGAAGACACAATATTACGTGATTATACATTAATTATAATTTTTTATTTTTAAATTTATATTATATTCATATTTTAATAATTGTTAATTGTGGTTAGAATTCTACTGCTACATATTGAAACTTAAAAACTCCTGTTATAACTAATAATAAGTAGTCTTAAATATGTCATTTATTAATTTTTTCCTGAAATTTATTCATTTAAAAATAGAGATCGTATATAAAAATTGTTTGTTGTTACCCCCTTCTCAATTTGTCTCGTGCCTTAGATAACTTTATTAAAGGTTTTACTTGTATTTAAATCGACACATTCATACCATGAGATACTATATTATCTTAATTGGTTTTATATTTTCTTATTTGATAGCAAATACACAGTTTCATTTTTATAATTTTTTAAATGAATAAAATGTAATAAAATTGATATTGTTTATTTCAACTTTTTCTCGTTTATAATTCAACTTTTAAATCTATAATTTTTTTTATAATAATAATAAAGAAGAAACGTGCAAATACGTTTTCAAAAATTAGTGTTATTAAAACAAGAAAGCTCCTCTCTATAAAATTGTGCTACCATTTTGCTCCTCTGCTGAATCAAAATTTAATTAAATATCTATTTATTAATTACATAAGTAGAAGTCCAATAGCTCCACCTTTATTAATTAGTAACTGAATTATAAAACAAGGCTTACGTACCAAAATCCTTACCGCTTTAACAAAAAGAAAAACACTAAGGCCTCATTTGTTTTCATTAAAATTAAGAGGTCTAAATATTAAGATTTGTATTTGAGTGTTTTGATCTGAATACACATCTGAATATTAAGATATGATCTCTAAATTTTAACACTAAATAATTAATATTGTTTGTTTTCAATATTTAAATATAGAAGTGATATTAAATATTATACTAATAAAATATTATAAAATTTTCATTTCAACAAAATATATAACTTTTCACAATTTTTTTTAAAAAGTTAAAATAATCATGATTGGAATATTATTTTTTCATTCAAAAACCTTGATAAACAACAATACACCTAAAATATTATTGCAACCAGTGTTCTTAACACACATCAATACAAGAAAATTACTAATATAAAAAAAAATTCTTGAAAGGATTTATGAAAACTTATCCTTTGAGAAAAAATGGTGTTGAATTGTGAAAAGTGAGAAAGAGAGTTTTTTTAGTTATGAGATAAAAAGACAGTAGAGAAGATATGCTTTATTATTTGATTATTTATAAAATGAGTCTGAATGTTGTTAAGAGTCTCCTACAGATCTGATTCATTCAGATCCATTAAGAGTTTTTTTTTTTTAAATAAAACAAAAAAACTTAATGGGTTAAATCTGAATCATTTAAATTCAGACATGAAAATCAAACATTGAACTAAATCTGAATAATTAAGATTCACGCCTAATACAAACAAAAGAGGCCGAAATCTTTACTGCTAAGTATATTGTTTTGCCTCTTCAAATCTAAGTCAGTTACAACTTACAAGATAATAATTATCTATAAAAGGAACATATAATATCTCATTATATGATTTTTTGCACTATTTAATATTTGTCTACCTTTTAATAGAGGTTAAATTGGATTAATTTTTCCTAAATTTTGTCATTAGAATATATATAGTCAAAAAAATAACTTTCAATTACATATTATACATACTACCATGGCAATTTTAGCTCGAACCAGAACTAACTTGGCCGAACAACAATGACTAGGGTGTGCATCGATTGATTCGGTTCGATTTTATGTATTATTAGTTTAATTTATCAGTTTTTGGTTTTTAAATATGCTAACCCGATAACAAACCAATAAGATATTATTTATCAGCGTTTGCTTTATCGGTTTTTGATAGTTATCAGTTGGTTTTCGATTTACCTAATAAGAAAATATCCGCAAAATATTATATGACTTCTTACTTATCTAAATATAGTACGAAGGCCATAATTACATGTCACCGCCAAAATATAGTATGCGATTTTTTTATGTTAATCAAATTACGGATATTTACAAACTTGCAAATGCTACAACCTACAATTACAAACTAAAACTAAAATCAATTAGTCCAACAAGACTAAAACTAAAACTAAAACTAAAATCAAATAACTATAATTGCGAACCCTACCATTAGTCTTTAGTTTTTTAGCAAACAATAAAAACTAGTAAAGCAACCTAGTGTAGAGTGGATAGAGTACTAATAATCTGATATAATTATAGTGTCTAGTTATATATTAAATTATTACTCATTAGGAGGGTAAAATAGTAAATTATTACCG